GCCCCTGGTGTCAGTTGGGAATGCCCTCAGCAGCGCGTCTACCAGCGTGCACTTGTAGTCGCGCACCTTCCGATCACGCTCCAGTGAGGGAATTAAGGATGGCACGTTGTCCTTGTAACAGGGATCCAGCAGGGTGGCCACCCAGTAATCAGCACAAGTTAGAATGTGGGAAACTCAGCAGTCGTTGCGCAGGCAATGCAGCATGTGGTCGCTCATGTGTGTCAGGCTGCCCAGAGGCAAGGACAAGCTGTCCTCTGTGAGAGGTGTATCGTCTGTGTCCTCCGTATCCCCCCAGCCACGTTCCAGTGATGCCCTGCTGTGACAATTGTGTACCTGGCCTATGCTGGTGCAGGAACCCACCCTCCGAACCACTTGAATGACTGGCCTGATAACTGTGGAACTCTTCCATCATCGTCCAAAGCATTTTTTCAAGGAGACATAGAAGGATAGTAAGGCTGAGAATGGCATCATCGGCACTGGCCATGTTGGTGGATTACTCAAAACAGTGCAGCATGGCACACAGGTCTCGCATGGAGGCCCACTCATTGGTGGTGAAGTGGTGCTGTTCCGCAGAGCGACTGACCCGTGCTGCAGCTGAAACTCCACTATCGCCTGCTGCTGCTCGCACAGTATCTCTAGCATGTGCAAGGTTGGATTCCACCCTGTGGGCACGTCGCATATGAGGCAGTGAGCGGGAAGCCGAAGTTACAGTGCAGCACAGACAAGTGAGCAGCAGCAAGGTGAGAACGCTGAAAGCGCGCAAAGACGGCACACATTTTCTGCAGCAGCTCTGATATATCTGGGTAGTTTTTCAGGAATTTCTGCACCACCAAATTCAGCACATGCACCAGGCAAGGGATGTGTGTCAAACCGGCTAGGCCCAGAGCTGCTACGAGATTTTGCCCATTATCGCACACCACCAGGCCAGGCTTGAGGCTCAGTGGCAACAACCACTCATTGGTCTGTTGTTACATGCCCGTCCACAGCTCCTGTGTGAAGGTGTTACGCTGACCGGATGAGGAAGTGGTAGAGGAGGAGGAAGCGGAGTAGGAGGAGGAGGCAACAGGAGGCAAAGAGAAATGCCCTGCAATCCTCGGTGGCGGAAGGACATGTGCCACACTGCTATCCGCCTCAGGCCCAGCCGCCACTACATTTGCCCAGTGTGCAGTTAGGGAGATATAGCGTCCCTGCCCTGCTTACTGGTCCACCTTTCAGTGGTTATGTGGACCTTGCCACGATGGCTTTGCGCAGTGCACACCTGATTTTGTCCACCAATTGGTTGTTCAGGGAAGGGATGGCTCACCTGGAAAAGTAGTGGCGGCTGGGAACCACATACTGTGGGACAGCCACCGCCATCAGGTTTTTAAAACTGTCCGTCTCCACCAGACGGAATGACAGCATTTCAAAGGCCAGGAATTTTGAAATGCTGGCATTCAGGGCCATGGATCGTGGGTGGGTAGGGGGGTACTCCCTCTTTCTCTCCAGTGTTTGGGAGATGGACAGCTGAACGCTTCCATGGGACAGTGTGGAGATGCTTGGGGACAGTGGCGAACGTGGTGGCGTTGCTGCCACATCCTCTGTTTGCGGAGTGGCAGGTGCCACTGTCACTCCAGAGGTGGAGGAAGAGGCTGAGACAGCAACAGAAGAGGAAGCAGGAGGAGCCTGAGACCTTTCTTGGTTTTTGAGGTGCTTACTCCACTGCAACTCGTGCTTTGCATGTAGATGCCTGGTCATACAGGTTGTGCTTAGGTTTAGAATGTTTATGCCTCGCTTCAGGCTCTGATTGCACAGCGTGCAAACCACTTGTGTCTTGTCGTCAGCACATTGTCTGAAGAACTGCCACTCCAGGGAACTCCTTGGAGCTGGCTTTGGTTTGCTCGGTCCATGGGTGCGGTGGGCAGTAGCAGGCATACTGTCTAGGGGACGGCCGCTTTTGCACCCTGCTCCCAAACTGCACACGTCACTCACATGACCTTGATTCCATGTGGGTTCTAGGACCTCATCATCCTCCACATCATCTTCCACCCACTCCTCAACCCTGCCCTCTTTGCCGGTCTGCACACTGCACACACCAAAGAAATATGAATTTTTCAAAGTGCGATGTAACCACAGTATTTGACGGTTTTATTTGACTCTCAGATATGAAGTTCACGCCCTAAATTTACTTTTTAGCACCCAAAAAATTTGAATTTTTCAAAATGCAATGTAACCACAGTATTTGATTTTTCTATTTCACTCTTAGATATGCAGTGCACGCCCCAAATTTACTTTTTAGCACAAAAAAAATGTGAATTATTCAAAGTGCTATTTAACCACAGTATTTGATGTTTCTATTTGACTCTCAGATATGAAGTGCACACCCCAAATTTACTTTTTAGCACCAAAAAAATTTGAATTTGTCAAACTGCAATGTCACAGCAGCATTTGTCGGTTCTATTTGACTCTCAGATATGAAGTGCATGCCCCAAATTTACACACAGCAGTCTCTACAAAAATGTAGTATAGCACCCACAAAAATAAACGCTATGCAATGGAACAATGGACACAATGGTTGATGGCCCTGCTCAATGAGCTTACATGCTGGAGGGAGTGGGGTAAAGTGACACAAAGGTTGGTAGAATAGTATTCTCTGAAGACTTAGTGTGTGTTTTTTTAAAATGACAGTTGCAGGAGATGAATCAGTGGTTTAGCTGATATGCTTTTGTGAAAAAGTTAGTTTTTAATGATTTTTTGAAGGAGTGGAGACTAGATGAGCATCTAACGGAAAAGAGAAGTCTTGAGGGCGAGCATCAGAGGTGGGAGTACGAACATAGCATAGACGCAGGTCTTCGGCAGAGCAAAGGGGCCTAGATGGGACATATTTATGTATTAGGGAGGATAGATAGGTGGGAGTAGCATGTAGAGATTTGAAAGTAAGAACCAGAATTTTATATTAAGCCCTATAACTTAAGGTAAGCCAATGCATAAACTGACAGAGGTGTGAGGCGCAGGAGGTACAGCGGACAGGAAGATGAGCCTCGCCGCATTCATTATATACTGCAATGGGGAAAGTTGGGAGCATGTAAGAACACTGAGAAGCGGATTACAGTAGTCAAGGCGAGAGAGGACAATGGTATTGACCAGCACCTTAGCCGCATCTGGGGTTAAGTAGGGACAGATGCGCCCAATGTTTTTGACATGGAAGCGGCAGGATTTGGCAATCGACCGGACATTAGGGGTGAAGGAGAAGTGGGAGTCAAAGAGAGGCAGCGAGCGTGTGACTAGGAAGACTCTGATGAACTTGCTGTCCCTCCCTGTGACCATCTTACCTCATATAGAGTATTTCATCACTACCTTGATTTCTTTGGGACCCTGTTACCCAATGTATCACCATTACCCTACAAAGGATCTGTTGGACGATTTAAACATACTCTGGAATCTCTGGCCTCTACTTCCCCTTGTGCATGGGCTAAAAGCAATGTGTTACCCAGATGCCCTCAAATACTACTTGAATTTTAACTATTTGGAATTGTCTCTGAGTTATGCCCACCAGTAGTTATCTTTTTGTTGGCATCACATTGCCGCAAGGTCAAAATGGCCAGCTCGATTGAACAGAGCTGTAAGTGTCCATATCAATTAGTCAAAATGCTTTATTGCTTTGTATGTGATACTGAATAGTTGCAAAGAGAGTTGATTCTTGATAGCTGATTTACGTGTATCCCACATGACAAAGGGTGTGCAGCTGTCAGGTATTTTTGGGAAAATGACCATACATTACCCACTAAACAAATTGACTTTTTACTTGATTGCATTAGATGGACCCTAGACAATAATTATTTTTTGTTTAATTCTTCATATTTCTTACAGAATAGAGGAACAGCGATGGGCAGTACTTATGCACCCAATTATGGAATTATTTTTATGGCCCATTGGGAGAATACTTTTATCTATGGGCAACATGACTGGTGTGCACGAATACCTGCCTATCACCGTTACATAGATAACCTGCTTTTTATTTGGGATGGGCCCAAAGAAAGTTTTAAAGATTTTTTAATGTATCTCAATGACAACACATGGGGCATACAGCTCACTAGAAATGAGTCCTCTGTCTATTGATTTTTTAGACCTTAAAATTTACGTTGATACTTTAAAAACACAAATCTTTTTTAAAAAGGTAGACGTAAATAGATATGTCATGTACAATAGCGGACACTACTCCCCCTGGTTTAAAAATATACCCAAGGGACAATTTTTGAGGCTTAAGCAAAATTGCACGGATGATGGAGTATTCCACCAACAAGCTTAGGATTTACTAGATAAATTCAAGGAGAAGCAATACCCGAAGGATTGACTTAATAGAGCATTAAGTGACGGTAGAGAGAAGATGAAGAAAGTACATCAGGAAGGTTTTAATGATGTGCTGTTTTTTGATTTCAATAATCAATAAATGGGATACTACCAGTCAAACCCAAAATCACCCGGAGCCTTAGGACGACTCTGGTACCAAGTTTTCTTAAAAAAAAGACTAATGTTTTAAGGGGGTCCTTTCTAAACTGCTCTAATGGGTTCCATAGATGCACAACATGTATAGGCTGCAGGAACATGCCACAAGGGTCAAAACAAACAGAACTTAATTTTAGATCAGAGAGAATGGAATACACCATTAAAGAACCTATTACATGCCAGAGTAAAAATCTCATCTATTTGCTTAAATGCCCATGTAAATTACAATATGCAGGGAGAACAACACGCCCCCTACAGGCCAGGATTTGAGAGCATATTTATAATATCTGAAAGGGGTAGTTAACCATAGTGTGTCAGTCCATTTTAAAAAAGGTGCACAATCAGAACCCTAGTGGTCTAACATATAGAAACATAGAAACATAGAATGTGGGGGGCGTGGCTTAACTACCGATGTGAACAGACGCACTTGAACGGAGCTCCCCAAAGCGGAACATAAAGAGCCGACTACAGAAACTTTAACCTTTCAAATGGGCAACAAAAAGAAGCATGTCCTACAGATGAACACTCCGGACCCGGGCTCGGGTAAAAAAAACGGAGGATTAGACAAATATTTTAGAGATACTGTCACGATACTGGGCGCTGACTCAGAAGACAGCCAGGCGACGCCATCTTTGACACGCGGCTCACTTTCCAACAGCCCGATACAATCTGAGCACGGGTCGAACTCCAATATGGCTGAAATCAAAGAGCTACTGCAAAACTTACCTTCCAAGGAAGAAATAGCAGTAATGCTGACCAAACTTGAATCGTCAGTGCAAGACCAACTATCCAAAATGACATCAGAGGTCAAACAAATCAGTAACAGGGTGGGGGACCTGGAAGAAGACAGGGACCAGATCTTAGACAGACTACTACAATTGGAACAAGGACAAGAAAGCAGAGACACAAAGCTGCTATACAATATGAAAAATACAGAAGATCTTGACAACAGAAGTAGGAGGAACAACATTAGAATACGAGGACTACCGGAGGCACAAGGTACAAATGAAGATCTTCAAATTGTATTACAATCTCTCTTTAACAGGATGCTACAGAGGCCAGAGGACACTCACATTCTCCTGGATAGAGCTCACAGGGCCCTTAGACCCAAGGGTCTGGCTCAAGAAGCTCCCAGAGATATTATCTGCAGAGTACATTATTACTCCGAGAAAGAGGCTATCATGAGGAGCGCAAGGGAAACTGCAGAAATCACTTATAATAACGTGAAAATCCAACTACTCCCCGACCTGTCATGGATGACATTAAGAGGACGGCGGGCTCTGCGACCAGTTACACAAGCTCTGCAACAAGCGGGAATCAAGTACAGATGGGGTTTCCCATTCTCCCTCAATGCCTCTCACCAGGGGACCCAAGCCTCACTCACAACTGCGGCTGAGGTACCGGAATTTACTAAACGCCTTGGCATCCCGGAGGTAGAGATAATTGACTGGTACGATTTAACGGAATCAGAAACTACACAAGTTCCACCCCAACACCAAAGAAACCGATTTCAAGACCTACGGAGGAAACAACCTTGGAAATCACCACCTACGTCCCCCTTCATGAGACCCAGGCGACAACCGGCGACCCCGAGACAGATCCGATAAGGACTATGCCGATTGAAAGAACTCGATTTAGTCACAGGGAAGTTAATGGACTGTATAAAAAAAAAAAAAAAAAAAAAAAACGATACTCTCCAAAACCCAGGATGGTAACTATGCTTGTATGTATGTCAATAAGATGTGAATAAGTTGTTTCAGATGCATATACCAACTGATAAGGTTGGAAAAGTAGAATGACAGTCTTACACTGCCCTAGAAAAAGAACATCGGCAGGGGCTGTCACTCTAACAGGCAGTCATGACAGTTACCTAGGGTATTCTACTGTAATGCCTACGGTAGAGATTCTCACAGACAAGGTTAAGAGTGTAAGTTACCAGTGTCATTTATTCAGGCAGGGCAGTGACTTGAAAATCGGACTATGTACAGGGATATCACGTGGATATTGAGGGTCACGAAAAATAATAAGTAGGGCTGAGAAATGAGGACCCTGTACATTCAACCATCGTAAAAACGTAAATTAATACCAATATGTCAATCACACCCAATATAGCTAAAGCACTAAATCAACTGACCTAACTAGCCCACACCGTATCAGGCTACACTTTCACAAGTGTTCATTTGCCGCTTAAAGGGGAGCGAGGTCAACACATAGTGATTTTTGGCTGCTACATATCCCGTAGTAAAACGGATTATTTGATTGTTACAAAAAAGCGTCACAAGTTTTTTATGTTTTAATTCACAACCCACGACCCCTCATATTTTGGGACCGTACAAGGCCCAGAGCGGCACAACGCACAGAAGCATACCGTTCTCACATTTCTTATAATAAAACAAATAACTCCCCTGACCCAGTTATTGTAACTGGAAACTATCAGGGTTGGCACCGACTCCTTGAGAGAGGCCACAGGACACAAGAAAAAAAATAAAAATAAATAAAAAATAAATAAAATAAAAAACTCAAACAAAGAAAACAACAAGACCCAGACAACTTATTATCTTGTGCACTTGGCCTCTACAACAAAACTTAAAAAATAAAATAAATCTTCACGTTCTCTTGGGTGAACACCGCAAGAGAACACCAAATCACGTATCACTGTGATTACATTGTATATAGTTGTTTAAAGTTGTTTATTTGTTGTTGTTTTTTTGTTTATGTGCATTGGAACCACTGACCATAGAGGAATACTAGATCTATAGGGCATTCCATACCAAAGACACTACATTAGACCAGACAACACTCCTAGGTAATTATAGCCTGACGGAGACTACACCAAAGAATAGTTCATTAAGATCTTAGATACTTAGACCTAGCCATGGGTAAAATCCAAATAATATCTCAAAATGTCAGGGGCCTTAATTCTCCAGAGAAGAGGAGAATGGTGCTCACTGAGCTAGCGAAAACAAGGGCAGAGGTCATTTTCTTACAAGAAACACACCTACGAGGCAAGACCGCTCCACTACTTAAACACCCCAAATTTTCTCATGTATACTACAATAATTACAACAAAAGCAAATCTAGGGGGGGTTGCGATCTTGATAAGATCAGGAGTCCCCTTCACATACTCTAACCATGTAACAGATGAATCAGGCCGCTATATAATACTACAAGGCTTGATAGAAACCTCTCCAATCACTCTAGTTGGGATCTATCTCCCAAATAAACACCAATGTGGTGCCTTTCGGAGAATTTTGACGAAAGTTAAGCAAAACTCCAATGGAACTCTAATAATCGGGGGGGACTTTAACATTTCACTAGACGCCTCTAAGGACAGTACCTCAAACAAAACCCAACTTTTAGCATCGGCAAGACACCAAATGCAACATATTCTCCATACCAACCAACTGGTAGACTGTTGGAGGGTCTTTCACCCGACAACAAAAGATTATACCCATTATGCAATCCCAAACAATATATATTCACGCATAGACTTTTTTTTAACGACACATAGAGATTTAGGATTAATAACAGACTCGTCCATAGGAAATGCTACTTGGTCGGATCACGCACCAATCTCGATTTCCCTGACTATCCCCTCTCTTCCCCGCCCAAAAGGGCAATGGAAGTTAAACCCTAATTTGCTTAACTCAGCACAAATAAAACAAGCGGTAGCATCATCCATCACACATTACTTCAAAGAGAATAAAACCCCTGACACTACAGCCTTTACTCAATGGGAAGCACACAAGGCAGTGGTCAGAGGAGAACTAATAAAATGGGGCGCACACACCAAAAAAGAAAAAAAAAAAAAAATCACAGATCTATTGGAGGAGATTCGGAGGACAGAGGAGACACACAAACATAACCTCACAGACCCCATATACCGAACACTTATTGCCCTAAGAAAGGAACTTCATTCACTCCTCTTAGACAAAACTAAAAAAGCCCTACTATGGACGAAACATATATATTATACACAGGGAAATAAGTGTGGTAAATTACTTGCACAAGCTCTGAAGCAAAAACAAGCCCAAACTTACATTCCCAAAATAAAACGATCAAATGACACATTGGCACTAACCACGGAGGACATAGCAGAATCATTTAGAGAATACTACACCTCCTTATATAACTTACATAACAGGGCCCCCAATACCGAGGACATCAAATCGTACCTAGTAGACAAGTTTGACACCACTCTCCCAGCAGCGGCCACCAGATCTCTGGAAGAACCATTCTCCTTGACAGAAATACAGATGGCCATTAAACAAGCCCCTCTTAACAAAAGCCCAGGCCCAGACGGGTTCTCAGCCGTTTATTATAAGACTTTCCAAAAAGAACTAGGGGATCACTTCCTAGAGGCAATAAATTCCATCCCATCAGGTCACTCAATACCCCAACAAACACTAGAAGCAACAATAACCCTCCTACCTAAACCAGGGAAGGATCCAGAGCGATGCCCGAGCTATAGACCTATATCGCTCATAAATGTAGATGTCAAGATTTTCACCAAAATGTTGGCATCTAGGTTGAGGCCTTTCCTGACTGACCTAGTCCATCCTGACCAGGCTGGCTTCGTACCAACAAGAGAAGCAAAAGACAATACCACCAAAATTATTAATCTGTTACACCTAGCATCAAAATACCCGACTCCCACTATAATGTTAGCAATAGACGCGGAAAAGGCCTTTGACAGGGTGGACTGGTCATTCCTTACACATACACTAGAAGCCCTAGGATTTGGCAAGAGATGGTTAACATGGATCAAGGCAATCTACTCAGTCCCAACGGCACGACTAAAAGTAAATGGGCAACTATCTAGGCCTTTCAAGATCAGTAATGGCACCCGCCAGGGTTGCCCATTATCACCCCTCTTATTCATTTTGACTCTAGAGCCCCTTTTGCAGGAAGTACGCAGGAGATCTGACATACGAGGCATTAAAGTGCAGGATAAGGAATATAAAGTCTCAGCATTCGCCGATGATTTACTATTCACTATTGAAAATCCCTTAACAAGCCTGCCTCCTTTAATGGATGCCCTACATAAATACAGTGACCTCTCCAACTTTAAAATCAATGCGGAGAAATGCGAAATCTTAAATGTAAATGTCACACCAAACCAAGTCAAGAGATTACAGAGCTCTTATCCATTCTCGTGGGCTAAAAACTCCATTAAATATCTGGGAGTGCAGATAACTAACTCATCCCAAACACTATACACAGTCAACTTCCCAAACCTGATTTCCTCAATAAGAAGGGACTTAGAATCATGGGACAAACCACACTTTAGGTGGATGGGACGTATAAATATCATTACGATGAATGTTCTCCCACGCATCTTATATTTACTCAATACCATACCAATCAACATACCCTCGGAATTTTTCCGGAGAATCCAGTCCACCCTCACAACATTTATTTGGGCTAAGAAAAGACCACGAGTAGCATATCGTACCCTGACTAAAACTAAGGAGAGGGGGGGCCTGGGATGCCCTAATATCCTTCATTACCATAGGGCAACTCACCTAGGTAGGATCATGGAATGGTCTAGAACAGAGGGAAGAAAGATATGGGTTGAACTGGAACAAGCTCAAATAGGGACACCGCTCATAGCCCTACCGTGGACAATTCATTCCCCACATAGCACGATTCCAAACAATTTACCCACGATCACTACGACACTCAAAGTTTGGAAATCAATATGTCGAGGCTCGGAATTTACACCAACCACCTCACCTAAATACCCAATCACCCACAACCCGTTATTCCAGGCAGACCTACGGGGCATTACGCATACCTCAGGGGTCAAACCGGCCAAAGAGAGACATATAGAACTAAAAGACGTAATGACCTCAGATGGGTTAAAACCTTTAAAAGACCTTTCAGACACCAGAAACCAAACACTGTTACAAACGTTCCAATACTACCAACTCAAACATTTTCTAAGTAAAGAAAAGTTACTAAAATGGTCCCCCAGGGAAGAAACGAATTTTGAGAAACTTTGCTCAAAACCCATACCTAAGAAGATAATATCTAAATGCTATCAAATGTTACAAATATCAGAGGATACAAACCTCCCATGGTACACTAAAGCCTCACAGAGTTGGTTCTCTACTACAGTAGATGAGAACAACTGGTCCCACATATTCAGGAAAATGTTGAAAACTCATCCTAACATCCCCTTACAAGAAACTAACTACAAATTTCTCACGAAATGGTATGTCACGCCAGTAGACGCCAATAAATACGATACCCAATATTCACCTTTATGCTGGAGGTGTGGGACAGAACAGGGAACATATCAGCACATATGGTGGAACTGCAGAAGGATAGTGGGCTTCTGGAGGGAAGTGGCGAGAATAACTGAACAACTTAGCAAGGTGCCCTTAGCTTTTAACCCCGAAACACTACTATTCTTTCACATTCCAATCTCTCAAAACAAATGTAAATGCTCCTTCTTATACTTTCTTCTGACGACAGCAAAGGCAGTAGTAGCGGGAAATTGGAAATCCCAGATCAGACCCTCAAGGAGAGCCTGGTTCCTCAATATAGATAATGTACATAAGATGGAGGAACTGAGAATGTCGAACTTAGGCAAATACCATCT